AGATAGAGTAACACAACAGAAGCTTCCCTTACGGTTGCATATGCTCAAAATTGGTAGTAGCTACCTGCTGTGTGTCCCTGCAGGCAGTTTTCACATGTGACCTCAAGCAAAGGCAGCCTCATGGAGATGTTCCTTTATCATGCAAATTGGAAAATTTTGTGCAGGATTCTCCCAACTTAAAATACCACTTGATCATCACAGCGAGGTTTGAGTGTCTGTGTTTTTTTTGAGCTCGGAGCCAGATATCCGAGGTATAGAGGTAGAACATAGGATAGTTTAATCTCTTACTCGCACACTCCAGCCTCTGGAGAGGAACGCTTTGACGCCTCTTCCCCCCTCAGCTGACGCAAAAAAGGAGGATTTACCTCCCCCAAAGTCCCCATGTCCTGACTATTTCTCCCTCCCCTGCTCGTTCTCGCTCTCTCTCTCTCTTTCGCTCGCTCACTCGCTCCCTCCCTCCTTCTCGCTGCGTTGCAGGAGCGATCAGCTCAACGTGGGAGACTACATCAAGTCCGTCAATGGGATCAACCTGGCCAAGTTCCGCCACGACGAGATCATCAGCCTGCTGAAGAACGTGGGCGAGCGGGTGGTGCTGGAGGTGGAGTACGAGCTGCCGCCCGTCTGTGAGTGTCTCCGCCTGCGGGCGACAACAACACCGATACGCTGTAGGCTCAACGCCCATGTATCGTTGATATAAAACCCGCAGAGAGCCGTGCATTTGTATACTGATGCATGTTTACTGAAGCAGGGACACAACAGGCAACTCGCCTGGGATTCAAACCTGAAAACCAAGACCAGTCCCATAATGAACGTATACATCAATCACCAGAAACCACTGAGAATCTTTTCAGTACCATGCCAGCGCATACAGAACACAGAAAGGACAGTGTCACAGATGAGGAAAGTCATAAACTCATTGGTTCTCAGGTCTGTGCATTTTACAATGTGTAAATAATAGCACATTGTGAAATGCATAGATCGTATAATGAGATTGTATAAAAGCTTTTACTGCAATTTGTTGCAATAAAAAACAAGGTTTACATGCATCCCTGACCCTGTTCTGTGAGGATGTCAACAAATGACAACACTCAGTCTTAATTTGATATTGAGCCTCTCATCAAGAGATCGCTGTTTAAAGTGCAGCTCTTGTGCCTCGCAGGGTAAATGGCAAGGGTAAATGTGTGCGCCAGCGAGAAATTTAATGAACTGTTTAATGTCCCACCTTCACTCCTCTCCTCAGCGCTCCCAGGCTCAGGGGTCATGTTTAAAACGGTGGAGGTCACCCTGCACAAGGAGGGCAATTCATTCGGGTTCGTCATACGAGGTGCGTAAACAGGAACAGGTTGCTGCGAGTCCGTGTGATGTTTCATTCATGAGCGGCTGAGGGAAATGTAACGGGACCTTTCCCACAGGACTCCCGTGTCATTGCCTGTGTGATCTCACCGTGGATCTCAACTGTATTGTATTTTTCTTGTGTTTAACATGGCTTCTTGAACACACTATTAAGGCTGTGAATTTCATTAAGCAGGAATTCTGAATAAAATGTATTAATTTACACTGACTGTAAGAAAAGGATTGACTGGAAAAGGTCTGATATTTTATATCTGTTTATATTGGCCCTTTGTGTATTTTTGCTTTCTTCTGTGGATTGAAGAATTCTGTCTGCTTCACTATTTTACCCTCACTTTAATTCAACTTCATTCGAACGAAGCTGAACAAACCGTAAGCATTAACAAAGTGGACAAGCCTTTTGAAGAGGAAAAAATTGCACCCCAAATCTGTTTATCATTTATAACTTGTTGTGATAGGGAAGACTTCATAATTTGGTAAATGGCCTAAATGGCAATTGATGTGCGCTGTGAATGCAAGGCGTGCTGGGATGTCTCTGCTCATTTCTTTTTTTTCTGCTGCAGGTGGTGCCCACGAGGACAGAAATAAGTCTCGCCCTATCGTCATATCCACCGTCAGGCCAGGTGGCCCAGCCGACAGGTGAGAATGTTTCTGGCTGAGTCACAGTGACGCCAGACCCCCAGCTGCATTTGCCGGCGTAGTTTGTAGGTCTCGACTGCACTGGGGAATAAAATATCCTCACAAGAGAAATATTCCTTTGCTGGAATGAACACGGAAAAGACTGTGATGCCCTCACAATCAACCGTTTTCCTAATTAGATACTGTTACGTCGAGTGGTACCATGTCAAAGCTTTCAGGCGAGACAAATAGGTCTCAAATTCTCAAATTTCATGGCAAAAATGAACAATTCTTACTGTACAATTCCTCTTTCATGTCAGTATTGGAATGTTCATTACCTAACATTATTTCCTATAACAGAATGCCACACAGATGCACAATTTATTCCTGGTTCTGTGATTTCTCCCAATTGTTATTCTGTTCAGATGTCTCGCGGTGTCAGTATTAGTATTTCTAATTTGTCATTTAATTTCCTTGTGAGGGAGTACTCCAATTTCCCCTCCTCAGTGACTTGACTCTTTTGTTCTTAGTTAAAAATGTTATTTTTCTCTGCTTCAATAGTTTTCCCAAAGCCATTTGAACTGAAATTTGGCAAATGTTTCACAGAAATAGCTGTTTAATGGAAGTATTGCTTTAATTAATTGAATACAGTGCTCAGACATGGTTTGCCAGTCTTTCATCCACCAAGTTTCTCAGCTCTGTGTCAAATACCAATGTTGTCTGCCCTGTGTAGAACAGCTAAACTGACCATATTAAAGACAATATACAGGAAACAGGAGGAAGCCCTACATTAGAGCAGTCTTGAAATGGTCATGAGTTAGTTAGCTCAAGTGTTCTAGCTTGTTTTCTTAAAAAAATGGCCTGTACTTGATTTTACTTCTGTCTTTGTCTTTGAGCGGAGCCAGAGAACTGAGCATGTCTTTCTGTCTGCTCCCCCAGAGAAAGAACCAATCAGCATATCTCACAGTGTTTCTTTCCCCTCTGACAGGGAAGGCACCATCAAGTCGGGCGACCGGTTGGTTAGCATCGACGGGATCCGCCTGCACGGCACCTCCCACGCCGAGGCCATGAGCATCCTGAAGCAGTGCGGGCAGGAGGCCACTCTGCTGATCGAGTACGATGTGTCCGTCATGGGTACGTGCACTGCCCGGCCACACCCCTCGCAGACGACCCTACCCTCATAAAACAAGCCCAGATCCATTCTGTTTCCTAGGCCTGCCCTCATGCACAAATTAGATCCTCACCCCAACCCACATCCACTCAGCCCCAGTATTACACCTCCTGTCCTGTTCTAGCCCCTACTGAGTCAAACACCCTGCCTCTTTGCCATTACGATTCAATGTCAGCTGAATGTGGAACCAAATAGAACATGCAACCAAGAGGACAAAGAGCATTCCACCCATCCAAAAAATAATATATTGCAAATATGTAAGAGAACACTGAATCAATAGACTGAATACATGTAATGGTTGCTTTTTGGATTTATATTGCAATATATTTCTGCTTTGCATACATTTTGTATGGGCTTCTTGAGAGGCAGACTGTGACTACATCCTTAAAAAGCGAGATGGAGAGCGCCTCTCTCATTACACCCCCCGGACCCTCCTCACCCCCCAGACCGCCATGTCCCATCTCAGTCTGACCTCCCTGGACTTTGGTTAGTCTCTCATTGCAGTTCAAATAAGGTAAAAATGCACACAAATAGGATATGAGAATGGGAGACGGGCATGATCCTCTCCTAGGCCCCTCAGCTTGTAAATGATAGAGGGTCAGAAATGCCTGTGGCGTCCATATGATTGAAACAGTCTCCCTCCTGAAAAATTAATCATTCATTTCAGACGTGACACTGCTATAGATGGGGCATGTCATCGCTGATTCTTTGCCATGCCAAAGGGTATTGGTATTAATATTTTTTTACATATCAAGTGCACATATGCAGACTGGCTTACATAGCTTGTAGTTGATTATTAGTATAGTCCATAATTAAAAATATTTATTCAAACAATTTAGGCTGAGTACTTCACTCAAGGGTATAGCAAGAGTAGCAATTCAAAACTCAAACCTGCAACAAGTCCAGTTCCTTAATCCCTGTGCAACACTGGGTCCTCAGTGCTCTGCCCACTTGCTTTCTGATACTCCTTCCCCCTGTTGTGGAGGTCACAGTTCAAACTGAATGTCCTTCATAATGGGGGTGGGGGGGGATTTTGAAAACAAGAGGAGTCAGGTCTGCACCAGCTCCCACCAATAACCCAATAATAACCCAAGAGATTCCTTTCAGGTTTTAACTATTGTGCTTGGGTGTTTTGAACAACAGTCTTCTTCAGATCTGTTTTTATGTGGCTGCACCACCTGGTGAAGCACTGCTCAATCACACCAGAGTGTATCGCACAAGAGGGCTGTGAACCATCATTAGACATACCTCATGTCATAATTCTGTGTTATAGAGATAGTGACATATGCTTTAAATGTTTAGTAACAACCATTTACCTTATTTGACCGTACAACGGAGCGGAAGTATGACCACAAATCATTATCACCATTTGCTCAGTTTTTCACGGCACATCAAAATAGATATAAATTTACAGGATTTCAGCATTTTTTTCAAACGGAGACATACAAAAAGGCTATTTTCTGCACCCATAGCTTCTCACATCCAAACCCAGCTGCCTGTGCAAGATGACAGCAGCCACTGTGAGCTTCCAAGTATAGCTATCGTATCGCCGACTCACCACAAAGGCCAGCTGCTCATTTCTCATAAAGCGACCAGGTGATTACAGCCTTCTTTGTAACTGGTTTAAGATTCTGCTGGAACTTAGTGGATCCAGCTCGTTTTCACCAAGTCCACGTTTCCATTACAGCTGAGTAGCGTTATGAGCCCATCCACCCCTTTTACATTACATTACATTTAGCAGATGCCCTTATCCAGAGCAACTTACTTTGGTTACAGTTTTTTTTTTGTTATCCATTTATACAGCTGGATATTTAGTAAGGCAATTGTGGGTTAAGTACCTTGCCCAAGGGTACAGCAGCAGTGCCCCAGAGGGGAATCGAACTGCCAACCTTTCGGTTATGAGCCCTGCTCCTTAACCACTATGCTGCACTGCCGCCCCTAAAACAATAATCCTAATGCATACTACGCAATGCAAATAAACCTCGATTTCCCATATTACATTTAACGCGTTACGTTACCACATTACTGAGGAGTGCAGCGTTGTGACCTCCGTTTAGACTGTGCAGGCTGTTGGTATTACACAGACACCGGAGTCAGCGACAGAAAGATAGGGATGATGGCGTGTCTCGGTGACGTGGCAATAAAGACATCTCACCGCTGCGCTCGCTGTTGTCATTCATCACACAGACTCTGTGGCCACGGCCTCGGGGCCGCTGCTGGTGGAAGTGGTGAAGACCCCGGGGTCCAGCTTGGGCTTAGCGCTATCTACCTCTATGTACTGCAACAAGCAAGTCATCATCATCGAGAAGGTCAAGCCCGCCAGCATCGCCGACAGGTAATAAGAGTCTGGGTGTGCTTGACTGCGATCAGACGCGGCAGACACTCCACTCCCAAGTGATTCTGTGGGGCCACAGTCGATTAGCCATTATGGAAATAGTCCCTCTACAGAAATCCATGTAGATAAAGAGTACTTGGTTGGAATTGTTATGTTTGAAATTATTTGAAGGTTAGAAATGCATGATGCAAGGTTATTACAGAAATTCAATACTTTGCTTGCAAGAGATGCCAATGAACAGGTATTGAGTGCTAATCAAGGATCTGGAATTTTCTGTATTTTAAATCTTCTATATGTAGATATCTGTGAATGAATCTGTATTTTTTGTTCTTTGCTTGCACAAAAGGTTCACTTTCAGATGTCCAGTAATTGACTCAAAGGTGCCTTCAGCAAAGCAGTCCATACAAACAGAAAAATAACTCAAAGTGAGCAATACCAAAGCTCTTGTGTCGGCACCGATGATATGCACTGTAACTGTGTATGGCAGAAGGTGATGTCACTGGCTCTGCAGGTGCGGGGCTCTGCACGCCGGTGACCACATCCTGTCCGTGGACGGCGCCAGCATGGAGTACTGCACCCTGGCCGAGGCCACCCAGCTACTGGCCAGTGCCTGCGATCACATCAAGATGGAGATCCTGCCCCACCCCCAGACCAGACTGGCCCTCAAGGGCTCCGAGCACGGTATGCCTGCAGCCAGGGTCCCCCGGGTCAGAGGTCACAGGCCAGACAGCACGGGGTGGAACTTCAAGTGTGCGACTCTCCACCCATTTTTGTTACAAAGTAGAGGTCAATGGACATTTTCAGGAATGGGGACAGTATGTTTCTGTTGTGTTTTTCTTGCAAAGCATCATTTGTTCAGAAGTGTGAAGTAAATGGACAGTTTTAGCAGGGGTACACACACACACACACACACACACACACACACACACACACACACACACACATACTGTATATGAATGCACCTACACACATGCACATTTACAGGGACATGCACACTCAGCTAAAGAGATTCATGTAAAATAACAGCACTATTTCAGTCACTGTAACCCAGCCAGCTACAAACCCAGACAGTTTACAACAAAATAAAACAGAACAGGCCGAGGGCCGACAGTGCCAGAGAGGGAGGGGGTCTCATCTATTAAGGCTTGATTGCCAAAGGGCTTCCACACTCTGTCTCTCAGCCACAGGATATGGTATCAGTGTGATGGATCTCTCATCCTTCCTGAGCACAACCATGTCTTCCGTAATCTCCGCGAGTCAGTGTGGGCGACAGATCAGACCCTCGGGTGACCATATAATACGTCCCGGTCTTCACTGAAGAGCCACTGCTCAAACCTTTCTAAAATTAACCCAACCTGAAATAGACTAATCAATGGAAATAGGTTTCCATGTTTGTCCTTTCTGTGCTGCTCTCCGTGAGAGACATGCCCTCAAGCCACACTGGCTTAGACGACAGCCAGACGTCTGTGGCTGAGACCTTTGCAGCAAGGGCCAACATTGTACATTTAGGTGGCAGATTCAGCAAGGTTCATTTCAGATGCAAATCAACTTTGGTCTGCAAACATAATAAATAAATATGAAGATGCTTATGCATCAGGTATAAAGATGCTCCAGGTTTTCTGAATCATCCACATTCCTGACATCCACATCCACAACCTGACCACTTTCCTGACAATTTAATATATCATAAGGCTGACACAGATACATTATTGTTGCACACTTTGTCCTTTCAGTTTTAAGCCATTTTCAAACATGTCATTGAACTCTGATATTGTGTGATTAGTGATGTAGGTAATGCTTAATTTTATCATTCAGAGTCAAGTACAAAGTCCATTGTGGTTAGGTTGAATCAATATAATTTATACGTAATATATATCCTTAATATACTAATACACTAATGCAGATGCGTCTCAGTTTACTGGCAATGATGAGGTATTAAACCTTGAGGTTTACCTTTCCATCCCACAGAAAACTACTTCCTACCAGTTTTCTCACCTTGGTGTTTACCCTTGTATTATGGTCACCTAGTTACCTCTCCCTGTTTCTCTGGTCCTCCTTTTTTATGCCTGTTTGTCTGTTTGTCCTGTTGGCTCTCCGGTGTCTGTGCATTTTTTTTCCGCCCTGTGGGTTTTGCGTTTGTCCGCTTGCTGTTGCGCCTGCACACGGCCAGTCAAGGTGCAGCCGAGCAACAGGCCGCTTCCCTGGGAGACCTGCGCCAGCAACAGCAACAGCAACTTCCTCCCCTACCAGCATTATAACACCTACCACCCCGACCACTCCAGGACCCAGGCCTCTAAACACCAGAAATCTTCTTCAAACAACTTCCGTAATGTTCCTCTTCGTCTTCCCCCTTCTTCCTCTGCCCTCCTCCTCTTCCTCCTCCTCTGTACACTTCCTCTCACTCACCTTCCACTTCGTCCTTTTCCTTTTTTAATTTTCTTCTGATAGTTTTTTTTATGAGTTTGACCTTTTGAATTTTTTTTTTCCAGTTAAAGAAGAACCATTTATATGCATGCACATGGTTTTATGCATCATGTTTCATTTGCTGTCAGTAAGAAAAGCGAAAGTGTTTGCTGAAGGGAAGGCATTAAGCCAATCTGCACAGTTGTGATAGATAGGAAGTGTTCTTAGCAAGGCCTCTATTTCATCAAACCTCACTGCACTTAACTTTACTTTTCATCTCTTTCATTTCTCAGCATTTTCTCCGGCTGCTGAAGAAAAGTATCTTAAAAGTTTGTTGCAGATGGAATAAAAAAAATAAAAGTTTGTTGCAGATGGAATAAAGACCCTCATACTGTTTGCATTGTTATCATTGATAAATCCAAGGAATTTCAACACACAGGTCAGGTTAGAAGAGGCCTTGTGAACAATAGCAAACAGTTCAAGCATGGGTATATAATGGTGAATGAAGCTGCTGTAATGATGACAGATGCCTGACATTTGCAAAGATTCTGATGTGGAAAAGCATTACAATTACAATTCAGGTTCAGAACCTTGCCAGCAGTGCCCTGCTCGAGAATTGAACTGGCAACCTCTGGGGTAGAAACCCTGCTCCGTACAACTGTTGAAGGAATCTAAACAGGACCTTTCAAATAAATTAGACATGTTCATGCTCAAAATGTAATTTCAGTTTAAGACTTAAAATTTTATGTTTGATGTTTTGATTTAGTTTGGATTTAGTTTCTGTGCATGCAGACTTGGATCTAAATTCACTCTGTGCTGAGCACATTGCAGCATTAGAGCTAAATATATTGGGCATTTTCTCATTATTAATTAATCGTCATATGAGAAAATCTATTTGCAAAGTTTTGTAAATGTAGTGTGTGCCCTTACCTGACGCTACGTGGCGATATCTACATTCTATCTAAATTCTAGCCTCTGCATTCATTGATTTCCTTTGATCTTGCTTACTGCCTTTCAATGACAACGCACAGCTACAGAAGTGCATGCATCTTCTCACAGTAGCAAATACATTTCCTGGCCACCACATTCTGTAACCTGCCACTAATTATCCATCATTCATCAACCATCAGCAACTCTCCATCACATGCATCTCTGATGATCATCTCCAATGTCATTTCCTCCAGTGCCAATGGACATAAACATTTTAAAAGAGATTGTGGGATGTCCAGAAATAATTATGCTGGACAGTTATTGGCTCATGATTCCTAATTATGTAGCTCTCTAAGGTTCTGTATTTTCAGTGTTCTGAAGCTTAACTGCAGCCAGACATGAGTGCATGGGAGAATATGAGCCAGTGGGTTTATGTGATTCATTCATTGAACTGGGAATAAAGAGTCACATAAATTCAATTAATTAAAGTGAGATGAGCTAGTTTACCAACTGCAAGCAGTAGGTGAAGTGTGAAATTCCATAATCAGTAGTGGAGCATTTCCATTGGCTCTGTTAGTTTATTATTGAACAGAGAGAGGGAAGTGTACTGTATGCTGTTTGTTGGACCAGACGGAGCTGCCTTTGTGAATGCTACAGTCATTTTTAGGCCAAGAATAACACATTTAAGGCCAAGTGCTGTTAAGCTGGCAAAGGATTAGTTTAAAGCACCAAATCATTTGTCATACACAATACATAACCAGCCTCATTGTGTTAGGTGTGGGGGCCTGGCTCTACTCCTGTAAGTGTGTCTGATTAAGTAGCTTATTTAGACCTTTTGTGTACTGCACCAGCATATTGATTAAGGAAGTAGCTGATATGAGGAGTATGCAATAGAAGTGGCTGTTTTCTAGAGCAGCCAGCAGATATTCTCTCCCGGCCCCCCTTGCTGCCCCATAACCCCCTCCCGCCCCGCCTTGCCCCACTCTCTTATGCCGCCTCTATGGGCGTCTCTCTCTTTCTCTCTCACTAGCTCTGGGATCCTCCTTTTCTCCGTCCTCTATGAGCGCCTACAGCCTGAGCTCGCTCAACATGAGCACGCTGCCCCGCAACCTGTACCCCACCAGCCCCCGCGGCACCATGATGAGGAGGAAGCTGAAGAGGAAAGACCACAAGAGCTGCCGTACGTCCTTTTCCTCTTTATTTCTCGAGTTTTCCAAATGGACTAATAGGACAGGGTGGGTGTGGTTTACACTGCAGCTGACTCTGAT